TTACGAAGTAAGGAGGCTTCTTGGCATACCAATGGAAATCAAAGCCTTCGTCCACGCAATGCCTTCCTAAGGAACAAACCGGCGGGGTTGAATCCAGGACATAGCACTCAAGGGTACTACCGAGCTCTGGAACCTCAAGCTTGACTGATTTATTCCCTTGCACCGGCCCATTCGCAGTGATGAGCGAGACAAGGCGATCAGAGGGTGCGCCTCATAGTCACTTTTGCTGATTAAGTCCTCTTCACTACCCGTGTCGGCTAGGAACTCAAGTCCAGGGACGAGTCCTGCGCAAGCGGGAGTCTTTTCGCAACTTTTGCACATGAAGCTTTCATCTTCACACTCGTACTCGCAAGTTGTTGCGATGTTGTTCATGCATTCGATGGCTCTCTCAAATTGCTTTGCCCACAAGATAGCACGCCGCGCTCTAAGGAAAGAGTCCGCGTACGCACTAGGAAGGTAGCTATATGCTTCCTACCTTTGCCCTCGGGTTGAATTGCGATCATATAGGCCTCACTGTCGAAATTGACCTTCGGCGTTGGCCTCAAGTAGAAGATGGTCTTGCCTACCCAAAGATCGTCGCGCCTTTCAGGGACTACTTGCCTCCAATCATACTGTTGCGCAGCAATGAACGGCTGGATCGGAAGAACCCTTTTCAACCTTCACGTTAACCTCAGCTTCTTCGCGTTGATGGGGAACGAGCTGCCAGGAATGTACCAATCCTTGCGGTATGTCTTGTGGTGCCTAATCAGCTTTCCCCCCGAAGTCAACCTCCGACGAATCTTTCAGGTCCTGCTTAGGCCCTTTCGTGGCGGCGGCTGCGAAGGCGCACGCTGCTGGTTTCTCAGGCTTCCCCTTTGACTTGGCTCTTGGGTTCTACCCCTTCGAGGTGCTGGGGAGTTCGCCCTTGGGGAGCCCGGCTTTGGCGCAGTTGGAAAGGCCTCCGATTTCGGGGCTGGAGTTGATGGCTTTTCAATCTCCTTGTGCTGAAAACGGCATTAGTCACCTCTAGTGCACGATCCTTCTTTCCAAAATTTGCATGTTGCATTGATCCTAGCCTAGGGAAAGCTTCGTATGCAAGAAAGGACAGTTATTGCCACACTTGCAAGTTCCCTTCAAGAAGTCATAACAGACACCTTTAGGGCTTGAGGATCGAGACTTGTTGGGAGTTGGTGATCTGCTTCGCCCGGGTGTTCTTGGCCTTGAACCTCTTGGGCTTTGCGACTTTTCACGGCCTCCTCTTCTAGAGGCGCTGGTGGATCGCGGGGAAGCTGCAGCACCATACTTGTCGCCGTGAGACCGCGCAACACGATCTCGGTTCCTTCGCTTCCTTTCTCGAGTCAGCAGTTCCTTGATCGCGTTCATCAAGAAGGCGTACTAATGCTGCTCACTCCCTTCTTTAGCCCTGCCAAAGATATCAAGGTCGTACGTAAGCCTTTTCGACTGCCTGAGTTCCCTAAAGAAGATGTCGCGAAGCGTCGTTTCGTCAGGAGTATGGTTTAGACCGGACATGACAGACTCCCAGTTGTTCAAAAACGCACTGAAGTCGTCCCTACGAGTCGAACTTTCAGTAAGTCTTCGACAGAGTACAAGGATCCTACTTCCTCAGTGGTCTTAAGGTATTTATCAAGAGAGCGGTCGGCTGTGGAGCCTGGGTTTGGTTTTACTCCTTTTTGCTAGGTTTGAGTGAAAGCTACAAACACTTATTCGCTTCTTGAAGCGCATGCACGTGGGCATGTGTGACGAATCGTGTGATGTAGCTGCAAGAACAATGAGTGACACAAGCACGTGAAGCAGCATCAGACCCAAGATTGGTTTTTCTTTTAAAGGTTTGGTTGAAGCTACCAGAATGCATGTTTATAAACACGGTCCTAGTGCCGCAAACTGATGCCCTTAATTCGATGCATCCAACTGCTGGTTGGCAGCGAAGATCGTCGTCATGAGACGCTGTGCTACACGAAGCTTGTTGGCAGAGCCGCTTGAGCTATTAGCCAAGGTAATTGCGCATTCCCAAGTGTTGTGGCAATCGGTGGGCCACCTGGATGTATCTACGACGTGATCAAACACAGACTCCTCGGAATCAGAGCTGGAGTAGCTAGAGCCACTCTCTGCGGTTTCCTTGGGCTCAGAGATCCTGTTGTCATCCTCAATCTTCGCGGTCTCCGGCTCAGCTGTCTTGTTGTCATCCTCAATCTTCGCGGTCTCGGGCTCAGCGATCTTGTTGTCATCCTCAATCTTCGCGGCCTCCTCGGTCTCGGACGGTGCCTTGTCCTTCATGGACAGCAAAGCCGCTTTGGCCTTGCAGCCCTTCTTGGGAGATGCTAGCCATGTCCAGAGCATCTGCTGGGCCTGCGGGCTCCACCCGCCGAGCACCCCAGTGCTGAGACTCAGGTTTCTCTGGATGTAGTGGATGTGAGACTGGACGTGCCGGAGTTGGAGGGATCGCTTTGTATCATGCACATCAGGAGAAGTGGCTATGTCCGACATGATTGTGGCCATGGGCGGGTGAGACGCATCGAATGCGCTACGTGCAGGTGAAACATTTGGTTTTGCATGCACGTCACTCACATTCGCGAGTTCGAGTCGGCAACGACCGGCTTCGACTTGCAAAAACCGAGCTACAGAGGCAGTCCTTTTCATTGGCATGCCTTTCTTTCCGGGTCTACCAACTGCTTGAAGCCAAGGACTTTAGATCGCACCATGCTTCTCTTCTTGCTTGTTATTGTGGTGTGTGTAGCAGCAACGAAAAAGGATAAAAAACACTAATGCTGCTGAGGTGCTGTACCTATCAGGGGGGAGGTGTTTATAAACAGGGGGGTGTTTATAACCTTGGTGCTGGTTTAAGCGAAATACGGGTTATGAGGGTTAGGGCTAGGGCATCAGGCGTATGCATACGGTTGATGATATAAATCCTGCATTCCCTTTATTATCCTATACTACGGGAAACACGGTATGTTCCTCATTATGGGCAATGCAGGATTTGTATCATCAACAGTATGACATTAGCTGCCAAACGAAACCAACAACCAACAACCCTGAACTCGTCGACGGCAACGGCGTCAGCGCCCCCCCCTCCCCCCTGAACAGCAGCCCTGTTTACAAACAAGAAAAGTGTTTATAAACACACACACACACACAAAGACCGCAACAAAGTAATCTAATCACTCGTGAGTGCGAACACTGAAGCAAAACATGAAGCCTGAACAACGCTACAACGCTACATTGGAGAAAAGCACATATATACCCAAAATGCCTCCTGCAAAAACGCAGGCCCCAGGATCGACCCTTCTGTTTATCAAACAGGTGCAGCACTTGCCTGCCTCGATACAGCCCTGTGCCTGGACACCTCGGTTTCCTTGAAGATCAGGACTTCTCTAGCCAGTTCACCTCTTGCGACCTTTGTAAGGGCGGCTAGCAGCTTTGTGTCTAACATGACGAATTTGCCTGGCTCGCGAAAGGTTTCAGGGTTTGCTTCCTTCCGTCTCATACACCTTGAGAATCCACTGAAAAGCTTCATCCGACAAATCCGAAGCAGCCCTTACCGCCTCGCGGGTCGCTGTCTTCCATGACCGGGCTTGGGAAGTCAGGTAAGCTGATGTGTTCGGCTTCCTTGAGCCTGGGCTTACTCTCCTCACTGCTCTTCTCCCTTTAAGGGTCTTGAGGCTGTTGAGGATTGCCCTCTGAGTTTCCAGAAGCACTTGATTCCCTACACTCGGCGTGCCGTGCTCGGCCGCTGCAACAGGAGCCGCACCACTCAGCATCGAGGTTGTACCGGGTCATCGGGAACTTTGTTTTCAGGTGGTGCATACGCAGTTGTTGATGCAGTCGGGTTCATTGCGGCAAACAGTTCCCTAGCGCTAGTAGAGATCGCATTGGAAACTGGGAGAAAAAAGGTCCTTTGGGGGCCGTCGGGATCGGAGGAGCGGCAGTAGGCTCTGGGATACCTGGGGGAGCAGCATCCCTGAATGATACGTCGGACCTTTCCAGGCTTGTCTCCAAAGTACGTCTTCATTCTGTTCTTGTAGGCCATAATAGACCACGGACCTATGCTCTGCATTCTGCCTGTCTTTGTACAGCTCAAAGTTTGCTTGGCGCCTGCTCTTGCAGGTTCTGCGCATACCTTTGCTCTTGAAGCTGAACATCTAGTGCATCGGCTATTCGTGAGTGTTGGGCTTCTTCGAATTTTCTTCTCAGATTACCATCATTCTCAGCAAACCTTTTTTGGGTCATGGCCATCGCGTTTAACAACACTTGCTCTCGCCGGGCGGCTTCTCTCTCACATGTTGAGATTTGTCCTTCCAGCTCGGCACCCGTTGCAAGGTGCAGGAGTTCTGCCCTTTGTTCGAGATCGGCCAAAATCGATTGGGCTGCTTGTTCGATAGTTTCCAAAAAATGCCTGTGTACTACTTCGGCCCTCACTACTAACTCCTGTACCTCCATCCTTACCTGGGACATATGCAATTCCAGGGTTTGTGGTGCGTACACGTTGTACTGTGCGAACACTTGCGGAGCACCATGACTAAGGCCAGGACCACTAGGGCGCGGACCACGTACCGGCAGAGGAAATAACTAAACCCCTGTCTGCCCCTGTTCGGCTTCCCATTGCTGCGAGCTGCATCTGTGCATTGCTCTCTTCCATTGTGGATCTGTACGGCAGTTCGCTTGGCGAAACTGTATTCGGGTCAGGTACCAGTTCAGGCGAGCTCATGCACTGATGTCCAGTACGCTTGCAAATACCAGGCCGCAGGCGATACGACTGATAACCTGTAGTTCTGGGTAACCATTCGTCACACGCACTGATGTAGTATACCCGTTCAAAAGGTAACAGGATTATGCCATGGCACGCATCTATTCCTTGTTCCTGTTAGAGCACAAGCAGTAACGGTGCATTCATGTACAAGGTAAGGGGACATTAGATTACACGTGCAACGAAGGCCGGGCGCCACCACAAAAACCCACAAAACGAGTCAGTGCCACTGCTCTTGGAAAGCTCAGCTTGCCACCGATGCAACCCAAAGTGCTCACGGCAGGGCCCATAGATCTTCAATGCATGAAACTCAATGCAAGCTGGCACGAAGGTCTGTCCGCCCGAGAAGAGCACAAGCCATCACCTCTGTCTGGTGACGCTCCCGTTTCTTCAAGAGCTCCTGCCACTCATGTATTTGCCACTTGTGATCCTGGGACAGCTGCAGTCCGCAGACATGGAAGGCCGTGGAAGGCCTCCAGATATCCACTCCGGAGCATATTGCTCCAGAGCCTTGACCTTCGTGGGTTCGCAGCGGTTTACAAGAGCCGCCGGAGGAGGGCAGCTGGGAGCAGGCGTAAGCAAGTTGGGCCACCTCTTTCTCATGGCCTGTCCCAGACATGCAATCACGATGCAGGGGATGTCAGCTTGAAATCTGGCCTCTAACTTGGTTCCAAGCATCCCACTTGGCCGCACCCTGCACGCGATGATGCGCGATGGTTGCAGCATGCTTTCTGGTGCGGAAGGGGGGGCTTGAGGCCTGCATGCTGAAGGGCTGACTCCCCTGACAATCGCCTCATAAACGACAGCAAGAACGACCCGCTGTCGGTCTGAGCTGGCTCAGCCCTCGGCCACAGGTCGCCTGCTTGTACCAAGCGTAAAGATCTAGGGCCGCACTTGTGCTCAACCCGGATCCATGCTCACTGACCTGAAAACTAGACGGCGAGTAGTGCGGAATGGTTCATGCAAGGAGGCCGGTGCCCAAGCTGCAGCCATCTCGAACCTGGGAGCTCTGAACAACGGCATACAAAGCAACAAGCAGAAGGTGATCTCACCCCTTGTTTCTCACTTTTGGTGCAGCATGACTTCGGCCAAAGCGACCGTGTTCTTCAATAGCATGGCCACCGTCATGGGGCCCACCCCGCCCGGAACTGGCGTGATCAAGGAGGCCTTCTGAGCAGCACTTCCGAACTCTACATCGCCTTGCAAACGATAGCCACGTTTGCGAGTAGCATCCGGAACCCGATTTATACCAACATCCAGCACCACCACACCAGGTTTAAGCCAGTGGCCCTTCACAAAGTTTGCACGTCCGACAGCTGCCACAAGAATGTCGGCATCGGAGCATGCTTTGGCTATGTCTTTCGTGAATCTGTGGCACAGCCTTACAGTTCCATTCGCTTTGAGCATGAGAAGCATCATAGGCATGCCGACAATGGCAGATCGGCCGAGAACAACACAGTTTTTCCCTTCAACGCCGACCTTGTACCTTCGCAACATCTCCATGCAGCCTGCCGGGGTGCATGGCAAAGCAAGTGGGCAACCACGCGGACGAGCAAGAAGCCCCAGGTTTGCACTGCACAAGCCGTCCGCATCTTTGTGGACAGATATGCTATCCAGGACAAGCTGCTCGTTGATGTGGGCCGGCAGTGGCAACTGAACCAGTACACCATGGACCCGCGGATCTTGATTCAGTTCCGAAATCTGGTCCAGCAGCACAGTCTCCGTCACGGTCTCGGGGAAGTTGATGTTGAATACCTGGCATCCGACCTCTTCCGCAGCCTTGGTTTTGCCTCGTACATATGATTCAGAATCGGGTCTGCTCCCCACAAGGACAACCGCCAGACCTGGTATCAGGCCTTGTGCCTGCAGCAGACGTGTCCGTTCCCGAAGCTCTTCCCGAACTTGAGTGGCCACGGCCTTGCCATCCAGGAGTCTCGCAGCACCTGATACGAGTTTCCCGGCGCGGTTCCGCAGGGCACCAACTGTTCCAGCCAGCAGCCCCAGGAACGAAGGACAAGCACAGGATCCTGCCACCTCGGAAACGCGACAACGAAACGAATTGCCTATGGCATCAGCTTCCCACTTTAGCCACCGTGCCTGAGATCTCCGTCTGGTCGAGGCATATGGAGCTTTGAGACTCAGCGAAAATACGTCAGTCGGTGCCACCTGGCAGCTGCCCGGCCTCGCACTGCATAGCTGCATGGCTGCCAAGTAACCACAGACACAGCAATGGTGATTGAGCAAGTCAGGGGGCGCGGATGTTGTCAATGTGTTGGTCACGACGTGCTGCCGTTGATGTTCGTCGACTACAAATGAGCCAACACAGCGCAAGATTTGGTGGCACGAAAAAGTACGAATCAGCGCTACCCTACTGGGTAGCCAGCATTTGTGCAGCAGCGTCTTTGACCTGCAGCTGTTCGACTTCAATACCACCGGCAATAAGCAAATCCTGACATGTTGCCAAAGCGGTGCCTCGTCATCACCCAAGACTTGTACCATCGAGGCAGAAATTTTCCTTGTAAACAGCACCCTGCCAACAGCACCCTTCCTACCGCTCGGAGAGCTCCGAAGAAGCGGACAGTGTCCTTGCAGTGCCTTGATGCCTCGCTTTTTGCCATAGTATGTACACCTGCCAAAACACGCACGAAAGCTGCTTCGATCGGCGCAATTCACAGATCCCGCCAGCGGAATGGCAACTGCGGCTGCTGCAACAACCACTGCGGCCTGTTGTCAGCATGTTGACCCATGCAAACATGATGCAACCCAAACAGGGAGTTGAGCGGCCTTTGAACTGGATTGCGGGCTCCACATGGCGCACACAACCGATCGCGAGCAAACAATTTCAATCTCAAGGCCCTGTTCTACATTATCGAAAACTTCCGGCCCCCGGCTGGCTTGGCACAAGTTGGTGTGCTACGTGATCTAACGAACCTTGCCTCCGTCCACCATGTGTCGCCACACCCCTGCTGGGACGCAATACGTCTGAACATCGGGCACCAAAAGGAAGTCAACTGCAGGCGTGCGAGGCGATTGCAACAACAGCACTGCCTGCGCTTGCCGCCTTGGAATAGATGGGAATGGAGCAGCGAGATACGGTGCACGAGTTTGGATTTGCGCAACAGAAAATAACAAAATCGACCACACTGCGTCATGCACGGCGTTGATAGCAATCAGTGCACCACATGCTTACAGCCAGATACATGGCGAAGGGGTCATACACAACAGCACAGAAAAAAAGGTGTACGCCGGGTAACCCCTATCCCCCTTGGGGCGGGTAGCTGACGGGCGGAGGGCAGGGCCGACCCGAGGGACGGGGGGGGAGACAGATAGAAAGAAAGTATCTGATGGGCGGAGGGTGGATAGAAAGAGAGAAAGTGGGGTGGGCAGCTGACGGGTGGAGGGTGGGTAGCTGACGGGCGGAGGTTGCTGACGCGTTAGCTTACGGGCGGACGTTGGACGGCTAGTATCCCGCTAGACCAGGTCGCGAGGCGGAGGGAGATAGATAGATAGTGGACATGTAGATAGAGGGTGGGTACGGGCGGAGGGTGGGCTAACGGGCGGAGGGTGGGTACAGTAGCTGACGGGCGGAGGGTGGAGCTGATGGGCAGGACAAGGGGCGGGTACAGTAGCTGACGGGTGGAGGTTGCTGACGGGCGGCAGGGCCGACCCGAGGGAGGGGGGGGGGTTAGATAGATACATAGATAGATAGTGTGGATAGCTGACGGGCGGAGGTTAGACAGATAGTATCTGATGTGCGGAAACTTCCAACCTCTAACAGGGGGTACCTGATGGAAATAGAGAGTATCTGACGGGCGGAAACCTCTAACCTCTAACGAGCGAGTCGGTCTGACGGGCGGCAGGGCGGACCTGAAGGGGGGAGGTTGACGGATAGATAGATGGTATCTCACGGGCGGAAGCTGGTCTCCGGCACGGAAGCTTGCTGACGGGCGGCCAAGCAGGGGGGGGTCAGATAGATAGTATCTGACGGGCGGTGGGTGGGTAGAACGGGCGGAGGTTGCTGACGCGTGGAGGGTGGGTACAGTAGCGGGCGGTAGTTTCTGACGGGCGGAAACCGACAACCACTCCCTGGGTCGGGTAGCTGACGGGCGGAGGTTGCTGACGGCCGACCCGAGGGAGGGGCCATGTTGTTCAGTGTCTACAATCTACAGGCGTCAGGGTGTCGGGTTACAAAGTTGTGGGGATTGCGGTCTCGAGTTCCGGGTTCAGGCCTGAAAGTGCACTGCGCACTTGGCAGTAAAGATAGCAAGAGTGATGATAACAAAAGTGAGAGCAAAAGTAAGATGACAATACTACGATGACTACTGTGGCGACTACGACTACTGCAACCATCATCACGACCACGACGACGACGACGACGACGACTACTAGTACTGCTAGCCCTCCTGTTGCTGCTACTACAACTGCTACTATAGCTACTGCTGTAACTTTTACGAATAAAGAAAATATATACAAGGAATACGAATGACTAGAATGAACACAAAACGAACACACAAGCGAACTCACAAAAAATCATGCAACATCACCAACATGTGGCGAACTGTATCGGCATTATTCATACGCAGATTGGGTAGTCCTGGAAGAGAGGGTTCAGCTGTTGCATCTCAAAAAGTAGAAAAAAGAACCAAACTTACGGGATCCTGATGTCCAGAGTTCCCTCGCCAAACCCTAGCTCCCAAACCCCTCAAACCTCAGGACTCCCCAAGACCTCTCCACCCTAAACGCTGAACCCTAAACCCATGACGCTCACCAGCCTTTCAGAAGCACCCTAAACCCTACCTGAGCCCCTAAATCGGACGGGAAGACCCGAAGCCTCAAGAAATTCATTTAATCCACCCTGCCTGGAGTCGGGTGCTGTACGCAGAAAAGCGAGAGGCGGATCATAACCCACCAGGGGGTGAATAGGTAAAGCTTCAGGGGGCCACGATTTCGGGTTTAGGGCGTGTTCAGAGTCTTTGTAGAAGTGCCACTCATTCGCCATGCTGCCTGAGTCTTCCATCCCTAAGCCCCAAACCCCAAGGTTTCGGGTTTGCAGGGGGCTGGAGCTCTACGGGACTATTCCGCTGTGACCCATTGAAAACAAAGGTTTGGGCTGGAACCCTAAACCCTAAACCCTAAACCCTAAAGGGCTTCAGGACCTAGGAATCTGAGGTGTTTTAAGGTTGACCTTAATCCACCAGACCCTACTTTTTTTGCAGGGTCCCTATGAATCCCAAAGTGGGGTTTATTATGAGAACCTACAAGAAAGTGGGTTTTGGTGGGTTAAGGTAGGGTTTAAAGACTTTGGGGGTTAGAGTCCGGAGATTAGAGATTGTTCGTGTGTTTAGGCCTTCGGGTTTAGGGATTAGTTCAGTGTTTGGGCTGGTAGGATGGGTTGATCGATTGTTTAGGGGCGACAAGAGCATGTACACTCTACCTCACCATCCACTGTGCGAAGCCGACAGCAACATGAAACAACGCGAGCATGGCATATACACGTAAATTTTCTGATAGCTTTCGATGCGATTAACCTAAACCCTGAACCCTAAACCCTGGCAGTATCTTAAGCAAACCCTACACCCTAAACCCTAACGCTAAACCCTAAACCCTAAACCCTAAAGCCTCAACTCTAAAACCCCAAACCCTAAGCTAACCATCAAAGACGCTCATTTGTTCAAGCACGAATCCCTGGGACCCGAATAACCTGAATGAACCCCAAACCCTAAACAGTGAACCTTAAACCCTGAACCCTAAACCCTAAACCCTAAACCCTAAACCCTGAACCCTGAACCCTAAACCCTAAACCCTAAACCCTAAACCCTGAACCCTAAAGTATTAGGGAGACTGTGGGCTTCCTTTCAGGGGTCCTTAAGGTTTCCTTGAAAGGGGGTCCGAAACCCTAAATCCTTAAACCCAACAGTCCTTTAAGAGGGTCCTTTAAGAACCCTTATGGATTCATAGGTCCATTCAATAAAAGCAAGCCTTGGCAAGCTCTCCCTAAACCCTAAACCGTAAACCCTAAACCCTGAACCGTGAACCCTAAACCCTAAACCCTAAACCCTAATCCGTGAACGGGTAAATCCTAAACCCTCATGTTGTTCAGGGTTTAGGGTTCAGGATTTAGGGTTGGGTTCAGGGTTTAGGGTTCAGGGGTCAAGGGTTAAGGTTGAGTTGGGGGTGTCCTCCTCCAAAGCCCTGTGAATTCCTAGTATATAAAAGCCTCATGCAAATCTCAAAAATTTCGACTCTGGTGTTGCGAGTGGCAGATTCTAAGGCGGGGGTCTGGGGTGTAGCTTTTTGGCTTGCCTTGAAAAACCCAAACCGGCGTCCCTGTATATTCGATATTAGGACTTATACTACGACCCTACCAACAAGCAGGCTATGATAGGTTATGGTGGTTTAAGGCAGAGCATAAGGTGTTTTAACATTGAACACGGGAGAAAGCGCACCGATTGATTTTCCACCCTGCCGCCGATGCGCATCTCCAGGGTGCACCTGGCAAATCCGAGAGCACTCCCACCCAGAGAGCCCAATACCCCTCAATTAGGGAATACCTGGACCCTAATATAAGGAAACCACAACATGGCACCATAAACAGGTAGATTGTTTAGGGTCCAGGTATACCATAACAAAGGATTCACATTATGACCGAAGCTCTATTCCTTAATTAAGGGGTATTGGGTTCCCCGGGCAGTTTATGGTCATAGGGGGCTTCGTGTTGAGGGTCAGGCCCGGAAAACCCTAAACCTTGATACGTTTCGTTATGAAGGCTGACACCCTAAACCCGAACCGTGCCCAAAGCTCAGGAGTACAGTTGTGAAGTTTCCCCTAAGCCCTAAACCCCATACCCTACACCCTTCACAATTGTGAAGCTCGGCTCAGAAGACTTGGCCACTTGGCCCTTTGGTAGTTAACGCTGCGGTGTAGGGCTTGTCATAAGACCTACTTACTGACTTTGTCGAGATTGTTTCAGACCTCCTTATCATTCCAACTCTTCATAGAATTAAGCTGCAGTGCCACGTCATACCGCCACTTCAACTATGCCATACCATATGGGCCGTCTTGCTTGCGCCTGAACTTTGGACGATAGAAACACAACCATAAAGATGTCAGGCGGCCTCAATGGACCGAACAGCACAAACTCTGGTTTCAAGGAGCCCTGTTGTAATTCAGGTTTTTCGGTACCAGGCTTTTGTCTCTAAATAAGCGTCAACAAGCTGAAAAAAAGGTTTTGGGGCATTCTATACTCGCTTCCATTCGGGACCATGATCTGAGGGTCGCTTTCAGGTCTGGGTGTGCTTGCACGCAACCATTTTCATAAGTATGCTGCAACAGCTCTCGACTCACCACGGGCCCAGGAGCACGCGCGGTGCTCGCCGGCGGCGCCAAAAAGGTGGAGGCTCCGTGTAGTTTGGCAGTTTCGGCAAGATGCTTGGGCACCTCTGCCTCAGGAATGCGGCAAAAGTGGAGTTAACTTGGGGGCCCACGAAGCTCTCTCTGCAATCGGTGTATCCTTTAGGCTTGAGGAGTTCGATCAACCGAAAATGCACCAGTCGAATGTCAGTGGTCGGTGGTGTTAAGGTATTCGATGAATCCTGCGATGGCACCCGTATCCAATGCACTTGGTACCCGTCCACGCGCTCCACGTCCATCAGCAATTTGTTTCTGTCGCCATAGCTACCCATACAGATCTCATCGCAAGGGTAAATGTCGAAGTCGTATCCGCCTCTAGAACCATGCGGTCCTGGAAGCTCCCAACGACGTTCCGGGATGGATATTGCAGCGTAGCTGCTGTTTGCCAGTCTTTCATCCATGTATTCGTTGATGTTCGAGAACTTTTCCTTGGTGGTCTAGCCAAGTACACGGCCTAAAGTTTACACAAGGAATACCTGCGACCCGAAAACAAGATTTGCTGACCTCCAGAGATTAATCCGTTCAACGGTTCACAACGCTTGTGAAAGAAAATATATGCGCTGCAAAAATGCTATCCTTACTTGGCGAGCTGCTGTACAAGAAGCAACATATGCCAAACCCGAGACCTTGCACCATAGGCTCTAAGTGGCGCAGGCAGTAACCCTAGGGTTTACGGACTAGGGCTTATAGGGTTTAAGGTCTGGGAAACACACTTAACACCGAAGCCTAAACCCTATGGCATTAGCGAGGGAACACACGTTCTCCATTCCCCGCTTTCATAAAAATTTCTCTTTCGACTATTGAAACATATCCGGAAAAACCCTCGACCATTTAAGCCCTCACGGCTTAGGGTTTATTAGGCTAAACCCCATCCGGAAGGCTGGAGAGACGACTTTATAAATTCAACTTTCACATCAAAGCAAACCCTCTCGGTAAGGTGCACTTAGATCCCACTTCTTGCAGTTCGTACAAGACCTTAATTAATAACCCGTTTTCGCAAATCATGTGGACCTTTGTAACAAAAAATGAGAAAACAAGTTTCGTTCCACCAATGTTATTTAAACACATCAGATGACCTTCGCTAAACCTGGAACCCTGCCACACTCAACACCCAAGCTTCGTTGAAAGCCCACGCACTCACACATGATCCGCCCCTCCCCGCTCAAACAAAAAACACACACACACAGTGCACGCACAAATCCACACACTCTGGCCTCAAGAAGTGAGTTCTGCTGCGTCCACGTATGGTGATTAATCAAATTTCGGACCTCGCTCAAGGCCACCGCCCCACCAACATCATCCAACATCAGCCAAAATCCCAACTGCCCTAAACCTCAAATTAAGTCAAGTCAAAACCCTAAACCCGAAGCCCACCAACACGCAAACCCATAAACCCGAAATCGAAAACCCGCCAAACCTGAAACTATAAACAAGGTCACTCAGTCAATGGTGGCCCCGTGGATTTTGCACGTGACCTCGTGCATTTACCCCACGAATACCAGCATTCTTTGTGGTAGGTGCGTTTTACGAATGCGTCTCTTTTTTCTTGGTTTCAAAGCACAAGCACACTGAGGTGGTAGCAAAAGTGACACGCTTGCCAGTGTTTTCAAGGGTTCGGACGGTGTAGCTTGGACGACGTGTTTTTGCAACTCGTGCGTCTTTTTCGAAATTGTCCTTGAGGTTTAAATGAAGCAGGAGTCGTTCTGCTAGTCGTAGTAATAGGAATAATAGTGGTGGTCGTAGTTGTAATTGCAGTAATAGTACTAGTAGTAGTAGTAGTAGTAGTAGTAGTAGTAGGTAGTAGGTAGTAGTAGTAGTATAGGTAGTAGTAGTAGTAGTAGTAGTAGTAGTAGTAGCAGTAGTAGTAGTTTTAGTAGTAGTTGACATAGTAGCTGTACTAGTAATAGTAGTAGTAGTAGCAGTAGTAGTAGTAGTAGTAGTAGTAGTA